TATAACATGAGGAAAGCTCATTCCTGCCCTGCTCTGTAAAGGATGGGAGTGGGTAGGGGACTCCCAGAGGTTGGAGGGGCTTTCAGAGGTCTGCAGGGGGCCAAAGGGCTACTTGCAAGAAGGAACCAAGCCCCACCGTCTTGCCGCCCTCTTGGCTTGCGGATTTGGGCCTTGGTTTCTCCTTTCCAGAGGAAACTGCTCAGCCCACTGACATTTTTTTGAGACTATGGATCAATCACAAAAGGTGACACTTTTCATGGAATCTCTCTTCAGACACCCACAAACCTCAGCGGGGAAAAAAAAGCCCCTGAGTCTGAAGGGAAGGGGAGAGGCAGAGGTGGCGGGAGAAAGCAGGGAGGGCCACGTTCAGCCGCTGCGGGGGGGCCAGGGCAGGGAGGGAGGGGCTGGCCCACAGCTGGTGAAGGGTGTCCTCGGAAATGGAATATGGTGGCAGAGGGGGCACAGCGGGGGGCGAAGGACAGCCATTTCCATAAGAATCCTTCTTGGAGTGTCTGGAGGGGGAACCTGGTTTAGAAGCTGCCTTCCCAGGGCTCAAGATCTAAATCTCCTGGTCCTAATTCACCGACCAGCCCCACTCCTTTTCCCAGTCTGGGGAAGAAACTGGGACAATTAACTGGGGCAGAGCTTTCGCCCTTTCCTGCTTCTCTAAACGTGGCGGCTCCCCCACCCCCACCGGCAGGCGGCTAAACAAGGTTCTGCAGTTTAGAAAGATAATTCAGAGAGCAGGTGTGTTTGCAAAGCAACAATTCTGCCATTACTGAGCGTTCACAGCTTCCTGGGTCCCGTGCTACCCCACCACAGGGATGGTAACCCTGTTGGATAGAAGCTAGAGAAGTCATCCCGCTAGGAAAAGGCGGACCAGGATTAGAACCCCCAGACCGTGCTGCTCACCCCGAGGCACAGATTTGAAAGGAACAAAGTGTCCAGATCAGGATGCCCTGCGGCTGGGAGACTAGAACTTACCGAGGACAGGTTGATGGGGGAGGGAAAAGAAAGGGGGGAGCCTCAGGTACTGTGTCCCCTGACCAGGCCTCCAGGACTGGGGGGTGGAGGATGGGGGGTGGGGGGACAGTGACAGCCTCCTGGCCAGTGGCCACCTCTCTGCCACATAAAACCCTCTCTGTGTGCATGGGAGTCCAGACCTCAGAGCGGGCCACGCTGAGCTCCAGCTACATAGGGGGCAGTTAGAACTTTCTGGAGCACCTCCCCCAGTAGGATGAGCTGAAGACCACCAGGGAGGTGTTAATGAAACCAAGAAGCTGTGAACAGACCCAGGAGTGATTCCAATCTGACACCTCCACCCTAGCCCCCACCAGTAATGAGCTGGGACCTGCCCTTCTCCCCAGAGAGGAGGGTGAGGGGAGAAGAGGAAGCTCTTGGGCATCTTTGTAGCCTCAGAGGCCTCCCTTCTCATCATTACCATCACCATCTTACCATCATCATCATTTTCACCACAATGAAAAGCTCCCATTATTAAGCACCTACTGTGTCCCATGCACTGTGCAAAGTCCACTTCCTAAGTCCAGTAATGAATCATCTCAATGAGCTGTGCGGTAGGCACCATCCTTGTCTCCATTTTACAGGTGGAGAAACTGAGGCTCCGCTGGGTTAAGCGACTGGCCTGAGGCAGAGCCAATGTTTGGACCCAGGACTGTCTGACTCAGAAATCTGCATTCTTACTGCTTTTGCTACTGCACCTCTGGGCATGGACCCACGAGGTCCTCAGTAGGAAGGTGGGTGGAGTAGAAACGTTCCCCTGTCTGGAAACAGAGGAGTCCAACCCTTGGGACCAGGGGTGGGGGGGACGCCCTGGTGTGGGGAACTCACACCCCCATGCAGGGAGGCCTGTACATGTGGACCCGAGCCGGAGCTGGCGTGGTGAAGAAAGGCAGGGAGCCCACCCTGTATCCAGATTCCAGAACCAGGGAGAAAGAGGGAAGAGCTGGATCCTAGCCCCACCACTGAGCCTCATACTCTCCCAGCCCGCTCTTTCTGGGTCCTCTTCCCCTTTGTGAGCAATGGGAGTTGGACCAGGGCGCTCCAAGGAGGGACCTCCAGCTCTGCCCACTGCCTGGGGAAGGGGATGGAGAGGGATATTGGCCTAAAGATAGTGTGTGTTTTTGTGTGTGGGGGGGGGCTGTTAGGAAGACCCCTGCCTCTGGTCCTGGAGGGAGGGGCTGAGGAGCTCCAAGAGCAGAGGGACTGGAGTCCCATGTTTGTAAACATCATTAATCAGGGATTAGCAGATGGGCATGCTAATTGCACCTGTGGAAGCCAGAGACCTCAAGGTTGATTACATTTACAAACTGTGGGGATCCCTGGCGCCTGGCCCTGTCAGAGTGATGGGGGAAGGTCTCATTTAGGACCTCAGCCTGGGGGAGGGAGCTGGCAATTTAGTCTCCTGCCAAAAAATAAAAATAAAAATAATTCCAGCCCTGCAGGGGGCTGGAGGTACTGGCCACAATTCGGCTCTTCTGGAATACCAATCTTCTGAGCCCCTTCCCCTCTTGGCTGGGGAGCCCTGAAAAAGGAAGATCTTGACAATGTCATTTTAACTCCCTCCCCTCTCCGACTCCCTCCAGCTGCTCTCAGGGGTAAATCGTGTGTTGCAGCTGGAACAGGCCCTGGACTCTCTGGGGAAACTGAGGCCAGGCTGGTAGCACAGCAGAGCCAGTGCCTTCTAGTGGGGCAAGAACAGCTGCCCCGCTCCTCCAGGACTGGGAGTGTGCAAGCTCCTGGAGTCTGCACCCCAGTGCAATGACGCGAAGAAGTTAAGGGTATGTCCACACTCATGCAACTAGCAAGTCAGAGTTGGAACTCAAAGCACTACCTAACAGCCAGGGTCACGTTCTTTACCACCCCTGCTCCTCTCTGGCTTCATCCTGACCATGGCCTCCAGGAGATGGGCCCCCAGCCGGCCCCGCTTCAGAGCCGGAGCCACAGCCTCCCCGGGGCCTGTGTATCTCCCCAAGCTTGCTCTGTGGCATGCCCCGGAGGCCACCCCAAGGAAATCCCCACCATCCTTGGCCTTGGGGTCTCAGGTGCTTTCTCTCTGCCTTCATGTCTAGTTTACAGAACTACATATCGATGAGTGCTCGGCGGGTAATTCTGGCCTCAATACCCTTTGGTTCGAGTGAACCTGCCTTCCCAGAGGCCATCCAGGGTGCTGCCCAGGGAATGAAGCAGTAAGAGCCCCCCTTGCATGGCTGGTAGCCCTGGGAGTGGCCCTCTAGATGGTTCAGACTCCTGGGACCAGAAAGCTGATGAACCCAGCATGCCCAAAGCTGGTTTGATCTAGACAGTACACAGGAGTCTGTGGGCAGGAGAGCAGGCTGGGAACCCCGAGGAGCCCCAACCCCACCATCTAGGTTCCAAGCTGGGTTTGGCTGTAGAGAGCAGAGCTCAATTCTGTGCTGTCCGTGTACCTGTACCGTGACATCTCCATTCGTTTCCCTCAAGCCAAGGAGTCTGGATTCTCCTGAGACTCAGAGCTGAGCAGTGGTGTGTATCTATACCCATATCTCCATCCACATGTACACATGCTTGCTCGTTTATTCTGAAGACTTGGCTCCTGGGATTGTAAACCTGGCAAATCCCGGCTCTGCCAGGTGAGTCAGCAACTGGGGCCCTGGAGAGCGAGGATGTGGTTCCCATCCGAAGGCCCACAGGCTCCAGACCAGGAAGAGCCCGTTTCGGTTCCAGAGGGAGGGAAGAATTCTTAGGGAACAGCCAGACCTTTTTTTTTTTTTTTTTTTTTTTTTTGCCCCTGTTCAGGCCTTCCGTTGATTGAATGAGGCCCACCCACACTGGAAAGGGCACTCTGCCTCACTCAGTCTACCAATTTAAAGTTTGTTTATTAGTAATCTGTTTATTTATTAATAATCTCCACACCCAACGTGAAGCTCCAACTTACAACCCTGAAATCAAGTGTCATGTGTTCTTCCAACTGAGCCAGACAGGCGCCCTCAACTTCAATGCCCATCTCATCCAAACACACATCACAGAAACACTCACGGTAACGTGTGACCGAACTATCTGGGGATCCCGTGGTCCAGGCAACTCCACACGTAAACTGAGCGGTTCTATGCACGTCTGTGTTACCAGGTGCTGGTCCTGGGGTGCACAGAGCTTGGATGTCTAGAATGCATTTTACTAAAACTTTCATTTCTACAGATCCTGGTTGGGGAGGGGCCAGCGGGAATAGGCACTGAGGGTACTATCCCCATCCTACAGATGCTAGGAAGTCGTCCAGGCCAGAAACCATGGAACTGGGGCTGAACCCAGCACCTCCTTGAGAACGTTAGGGACAGAGGAAAGGTCAACTGGCCCAAACCTTCAGACATGCGTTCAAAAGCACGGGGGCAGAGGATTTAGACGGAGTTTCTTAGACATGAGAAGGTGGTTCGAAGACCAATGATTCTTGACCCCAGCAGCACATTGGTATCAACTGGGGAGCTTGAAGAAACACGGGACCGGTCTCCTTCCCCTGAGATTCTGATCGCATTAGCCTGATGCCTCTGGGCATCTGGAACAGTAAAGGTGCACCCCCCCCCAACCACCGCCACTGCCATGCACACCCTCAAGCCCATCTAAGGTGCAGCCAAGGTTCAGAACCACATCAGGCCTGTGGCCAAGAGTGCAGCAGGGATGGGGGAGGCCATTAACATGCCCAAAGCTGCACTGTGCCAGAAGTCAGAACCTGTGTGGGAGTTGACGCCGGACAGCTCGAGGGGCCCGATGTGGTAGAGAGATCTGTGGAGTTTTATGGAAGGGTTTCTTCCTCTTCCTTGAGACAAAAAATTCTGACTTTAGAGCAATCTTAAGCCCTTTTAATGTCTTTCTAAACTGACATCCCCACCAAAATTCCAAGATAAATTCATTCCACAGAGAAAAGGGAGCTACAATTTACGGAGCATCACTGTGAAGGGGGCTCCGAGCGAGCTCACGTTGCCCTCTCTGTCCTTGCACAACTCGGGAAGGGAACTTGCCCGAGGTCACACAGCAATCAGAATTTGAACTTGGGTTGTCGTCCTCCAGATCCAGGCTCCAGAGCAGTGGTTCTCAACTAGGAGCAACTGTGCAACTGTGTCCTCCGTGGGGGCGTGTGGCCATGTCTGCAGACACGTTTGCTTGTCAAAACAGGGGGCAGGGCATGCCACCCGCATCCAGTGGGGGAGAAGCCTGAACATCCTACAGTGCACGGGACAAGCCATCACAACGAATGTCAAGACTGCCGAGGTCCAGAAACCCTGTTCCAGTGGTGCTCAACCAGGACTACACAGCAGACGCATTCTGGGCCTTTAACAATTCTGATATCCAGGCTGCCCTCCAACCATTTACATCAGGTTCTCTGGGGGTGGGTCCCCAGCGTCAGTTGTTTCTGAAAGCTTGCCAGATGGTTCCAATGTGCAGCCAAGACTGCTCTAAGCTGCTTGTGCTGGGGGCTTCTGCTCCACTTACAGGACTCTGTGGGAGAAGACCAAACCCACCTGTATAATTGACAGCGACCCTGTGCTCACTATCTCAGAGGACCAAAGGCCAGTTCTGGGGTTCATCGGTTCCTTTCTCAGAGGTGCACCGATGGGTCGCTGGGGAGGGGGTTCTGGAGGGCCAGGGAGGAGAGAGTCGTTTGCTAATCTTTTCCTTGCCTCTCTAGGGGCCATGGCCAAGCTTCTCCCCAGGTAGCCACATAGGCTGCCACGGAGACTGCGGCTCGAAGAGCGAGGCTGCCACCTAGTGGAGGAATAAGACACAGCGGCCCAGGTGATTTTATTTGATCCTCACAAAGACCCCTGGCAAGGCAGGCGCAGGAGGAGGAAGCCCCCACTGGGGCAGGGTTTGAGCCTGGATTTGTACCTGTCTCATCCACAAGAGAAACCCAGGCCTCTCTCTACATTCTCACACTGGTTCAAGAGGAACAGGACACCTGGACTGGCCTGCCCGATTCCCTTCTGATGTCTTGACATCCAGGCAGGGCCCAGGACATCCTGGAGATGAACAAGCCGCCAGCTCCAACGACAAGGCCAAAATCAAAACAGGAAACAACCTTCCTCTGATCTCTTCTGCAGAGCTCACTGCCCCACAAGACAGTGGTTAGTAAACAGGGGCCTGGGTGCACTCTTGGGTAAGAGACTCCAGCACATTTGAGGGTGAGAGTATGTGTGCCCTCAAGCACACATGACTCAGTCCAAGTCAGCTCCCATTCTGCCTCTCTTGTTCCGATCCTGAGGACAGTCCTGGGTGCTGCGCCAGTCCAGGCCCTTCTGACGCGGTGGAGGGTTCTCGGGGGTCTTGGAGAAGGTGCTCTCTCTTCCCTTCCCCAGGGGAACCTTTCCTCTGGCTGCAAATGGAGTGAAGAAGAATTCCTGCACCAAGAGACAAAAAGGCCAAGGGGAAGGGAGAGGATGGAGAGAAGGAAGGACCACTGGCTGGCAGTCCCTTGTTTTATCCTCGAAAGGATACACTTTCCCCCTCTGGCACAGAAAGTGACTGAGACAGAGAAAGAGAAACTTGTTTAGGGTGAAGGAGCTGTGCGTGGGCGATCAGAGGGCAGGAAGCCGGGCCACAGGAGACTCACCTGCAGCCACGGAGACATTCAAGGACTCAAGTCCAGGAGGCAGCTGGCGGCCGGGCAGGATGGTAAGGAGAAGCTGGCAGGAGGCTTGAACTGCCAGGGACAGGCCAGAGCCCTCGTTCCCTGCAGGGCACAGAGACACAGGGTTAAGGAGGCCCCAGCTGGACACACAGGTGCTTGGGACATGCACATCTGAACACGGAAAAGCAGGGCCATCTACCTACCCAGCACTAGGAGAGTAGGCCGGTCCCAGAGGAACTCCAAGCAGCTAGTGATGGGGATATCAGAGGACGGGGAAATCTCAGGCCCTGGGCAGCTCACTGTACCAGCCACGAGCCAGCCCTGCCGGGATTTGGCCTGTCAAAGAAAAAAATCAAGTTCTAGCTCACCAAACTTTCATCAGAGCCCCAGGAGAGGGGCTGGACTTGCCCGTATAGTCACTGATCCCTCAATTCAGTCAATAGTTACTAAGCCCTTAGAATGGACAGGCTCTGTTCTAGGCTCTGGGGACAGGGCAAGGAACGAAACAGGCCAAAATCCCAGCCACCCAGCAGAAAGGTGATTAGGGTGGGCCTCACTGAGGTGACACTGGACAGCAGGGGCACCTGGGTGGCTCAGTGGGTTAAGTCTCTACCTTCAGCTCAGGTCATGATCTCAGGGTCCTGGGATCAAGCGCCACATCGGGCTCTCTGCTCAGCAGGGAGCCTGCTTCCACCTCTCTCTGCTCTGCCTACCTGTGATCTCTCTGTCAAATAAATAAATAAAATCTTAAAAAAGAAGAAGATGGAGGAGAAGAAGAAGAAGGAGGAGGAGGAGGAGGAGGAGGAGAATCTAGGCAGAGATGAGTAAATGCAAAGGCTGAGAGGCTGGTGCTTATGGGACATGTGTGAGGAACAGCACACCAGTAAGGTGGTGGCCTGCAGGGAGGGAGCAGCTGGGACTGGAGAGGGAAACGAGGGGCACCTAAGGCAGGACCGCAAAGGCCACTGGGAGGACTTTAGCTTACTCTGGGAGAGCTGTAAAGGCTTTGAAAGGTTTTGAGCAGAGGTAAGATGGTCTAACATGTTCCAACAGACTCACTCTGCCAGCTATGTTGAGAGCCAACAGAAGAAGGCTGGTGAGGTCGTTTCCGCACTAATACAGGCAAGAGAGGCGGGAGTGGGAGCTGAAGCAATGGGGAGGCTTGGTGGGAATACAAAAATAACTTCAAGGTAAAACCAAAAGAATCTGCGGGTAGGTGGGCCACGGGGTGGGAGAGCAGGACGAAGAATCAAGGCCCACCACGGCTCCAGGCCTAAACAAAGGGATGCAGTCGCTCTTGCCTGGTCTGGGCAAGCCTAGAGAAGGAAATGGGGAGTTTGAAATGCCCCTATGATAACAAAAGCAGCTGTTGAATCTGGGGCTCACGAGTAAGATCCAGGCTAGGATGTACACCTGGGAGGCATCCAAGTATAGGTAGAATTTAAAGCCTTGAGACTGGGTGAAACTAAGAAATGAACACGTAAGGAAACAGATCCAAGGACTGGGCCTGGAAGCCTTGAGGGGGTTGGCTGGTCAAGGAAGCCGCCAAATGCAAGGCAAGACTGCCCCCTTGTGTCCAACAAGAGAAGCACAGCCGAAGACTGGAACCTGGACCAGGAGTGGGGGTTTCTTAGGTTTACCCCTTCCTGGATATCAAAGTTGTTTCTTATTGTTGTTGGTGGTGGTGGTGGGGTTTGTTTGGGTTTTTTATTTTTTTGTGTGGGGGCAGAGCGAGGGGAAAGACATAGATTAGTCTGTCCTTCTTCAAACAGCCTTTCAAGCTGGGCCCCTACTGCAGGACTCCTGGCCACCAGCTTCCCACAGCTGATCAAAAAAAACCCATTTCCTGACAACCTACTGAGAAGGCAGTGAGGCTCGGAGGTACACTAGCCTCAGGGGCAAGAGGTACGCCTGGGGAAGGAGTGAGGTAAAGGTAAGAAGCTAGGAAATCTCTAACTTCAGATTCTGCTCTATTTATGGTTTCGAAAATTCCAGGATCCCTTCCTTCCCAAAGGGGTTTGGAAGGACGTAGGGAACGATGCCAACATCCTCCCCTTCCTCCATCAGAGGCTGGATGAGTGCCCTCGGAGAAACTGAGCTTGGCTCATTTCTGTTCTTTTACTCACCGCCCCCCTCCCCGCCATTACCTGTAGAAAACCGGCTAGGTCATCAGTGGAGAACACGTCCATCACCTCCATAGCCCCGGCGCTGGCTTTGCTGACTACTGGAGTGAGCGGGCAGCTGTAAATTTCCCCACGACCCGCTTTAAGCTGGGAAATCTCAACCCCGGTGCCCTGCCCTCCCCTGGCCCCCCAAGGGTTAAGGGTGAGAATTCTGGCGATGGGGAGGCCTGGCTGAGGAAACAAGGATCAAGGAGCTTAGAAACTCGGCTGCGCCCCAAACTGGGGCACATGGGGAGTAAGGGACGACCGTGCCTGTTTCTCCCGGTGGTGATGACTTTATCCACTCCGAGGAAGTGAGCAGAACGCAGCACGGACCCAAGATTGCGGGGATCCTGGAGCCTCTCGAGGACGAGCCACAGCTGCTGGGGGTCGTCGCCTGGCCTCGCCTCCCCGACCTCCGTCCAAGGCCGAGGCTTCAGCGGGCTGACCTCCATGCAGACGCCCTGATGGACCTGGGAGCGCAACAGGGCGTCCAGCTTCTGCCGTCTGAGCCGCAGAACTGGGATGTCCCGCGCCTCTGCCACCCGGAGCAGCTCGGCCCGCTCTCCCTGCAACCCGGACCTGCCGGCCTGGAGCAGGAGCCTGGCCACGCGGCGACGGGCGGCCCGCAGGGCCAGGAGACAAGGGGACAGGCCAAACAGAAGTTCCAGTCCCCGCTCAGAGCGCGGGGTCGGCGCCAGGTCATCCAACAGCAGGCGTCTCAGCTCCTCCCCGCCTGGCCGCTCCTCACGCCCCGCCGCTCGGGAGAAATGACGCGCGAGGTGGCGACCCGAGCAACCCCAACTCGAGACCCCGACGGCCCAGAGCAGTGCCATGGCCATTGCCCCTGCAGCGTCATCAGGAGCGCTCACTCCCGCCGGTGCCCGCTCCCGGCCCCCAGCATGGATAAGGGGACCAATGGTCTGGACTCAATCGGAAAGACTACCCAAAACCAGGGAGCGGAACCACAGCCGACCCCTCCCCGCCTCCCACGTGGGCTACCGCACTTCCGGGTTCAGGCGGCCCGCCCCCTGCCCGCAGACGCACTGCGCAAGCCTGGCCGCCAGGCCGTGCCCACAGCGCCTCCCACAGGGCTGGATGAGCAGAGGCACTCCTGTACCCGCCGCCCGCCGAGCCACCCCTACCGGCCACTTCATTCCGCGCCCTTCCAGGTCCCAAGAGGTCCCTGAGGCTGGAGGGCCACACTCACCGGGGCACCAGCAAAGGCCAGGTGTTCAACGAGGTCACTGGGGGTGACTCCCTCCCAACATCCAGCCCACCGCCCGGGCGCTGGTGATTTTCCTTAGAAACTTCTGCATCCCAGCCTCTCCACTGCTCTGTCAAACCCTCAGCATCCGTCAGCAGGATCCCAGCAGTAGCTTCCTATCCCGTGATGTCAGATTCTCTAAGTGACAGCTCTGTGCCTGTCCCACGCCTGCTGATTAGCCAACTGATGCCCTTGGCCCACAGCCCATGGGTCACGGGCAGTCTCCTTGCTCGGCACTCAGACCTTGGCTGATCCCGGCAGGAGCTTCCATTCCAGCCCTGTCTCGCCACCGCACTGTGTTTGTTCCGTGTGGTTCCCACAACACTGCCTGCTCAGTCAGACTCCCACCCTGGTCTCCACTGTTGTCCCCTTTCCTGGCTGGCAAACTCCTACCCATTTTCAAGACTCAACCCAAACCCACGTCTGCTACCTAAGGTAATCTACATTCCAGGAGTGCTGCCCCAAATCCACCCAACTTCCCACTCACCAGGAAGAAATTCTGAGGCACAACTGCCCCTGATCACAGACAAGGAGGAAGAACTGAAAGACACCCCAGAAGCCAAGGTAGGTTGTGCAGTTTTTCTTTTTTAATTCTCACAGTGAAATCCACTTGGGAGGCAGACCCCGGTATTCAGCTGCCATAGTCAGTGTGGAGTGATCACCCCGGTGGGAGCCAAGAAGCCAAGACTGGGCTGGAGAACTAGGATGGGGGACGTGAAGGGGGCGATGGGGGCAGTAGGGCCAGGAGAGAAGGAAGCCTGGAGCTTTGGATAGCCATTCCCATAGAAGGTGAGGGCTTCTGTCTGCCACCTTCCTGCTGAGGGACAGGGGGAAGCCCCGCTTTTGGCCACAGTTCCTTCCCCAGATTAAAAGGAAGAGACGGAAGAGAGCAAACAAAGGCCAAGGAGCCTGAGAAGGGGACCGAGAATGAGTTAACAGGTAAAATAATCAGGGACACCACCTCCTCTCCCCAGCTCACTGTTCATATTTGTGATGGGAACAATTGATAAGATATAAAAACTTCGAATTTTCTAGGCCCTGGTGGGGTGGGGAGAGGAAACGGAATCTAGGAGTCCAGAAATCAACACCTAAAATCCAGAGGCAGGAGCCAAGCTGTGAGGGGCAGGGAGGGAAGGCAGAGCGCCCCACAGGAAACTAGATCACCTGCTCCGTGGGCCTCATCTGGATGTCTCCAATCTGTTGGAAGGCACAAGGCTTAAGGCAGCCGGGACGTTCTCCCCACCCCCTCAGGCCTCCCGGCTGTCCTCCTCTGAGATGGCTGGGCTCTTCCAGGGTGGAGGCAGTCAAGACCAGACTCACCTGGACGTGTGGAGGGGTGCTAAGGATGTAGAGGACAGCCTCGGCCACATCCTCAGGCTTGAGACACTGGAAAGCACCGGAGCAAAGGGGTGAGGTGAAAGCAGAATGGACCTCCCGCCCCTGACATCCTTTCCAGCATGTTCACCCCCACCCCAGCCCTCTGGGAGGGACGACAGGCTGGCTAGAAGGGTGTGTTCTGAAGGCCAGGGTTCCCTCTGCCGTTATGGAGGGAGTGAGTGGCTCATCTGTCCCAGACAGAGGGCCCACCTTTATGCGTTCGTAGGTGGCAGCTGCCTTCTCAGGGTCCTTGTCGTGGAGTTTGAAGGCGAACTGTGTCTCTACCGCTTCTGGAGAGATACACTGCACCCACAGAGAGGACCTGCTCAGGGGCTGAGCCAAGCTCCACCTCCATCCAGTCAGAAGCCAGGCCTTGGGGAGGGCAGGATGGAGACAGCCAGGCCCCCTCCTTCCCCATGATGGCTACCCGATGTCCAGCAGCCACCTTGTCCTCCCCAAGCTGTGATGATCACAGTGACACCTGCCACCCACAGAGCCCATATCAGGTTAAGGGTTTTACGACAGTATCCCTTAAAACTTCATAGCCAGGTAGGGGTCATTGTCTCCATTTTATGAGTGAGAAGGCTGAGGCTTGGAGGGGCTGAGTGAACCGCCCAGGGTCCTGCGGCCTTCGAGGAAAGAGCTCAGAGTCCGGGTTGCCAACCATGCTTTCCCACACCCCTTGCTCTCCTCCCTCAGTCTCCCCCACCGTGCTCCCTTCCGGTCAGCCCCTGCCGCGCTCACAGGCAAGGACTGGGCAGGGTCATGCAAGCAGCAGCACAGCACTGTGCCCCTCGCGGTCCAAGCAGCGCACCCCAACAGCATGCGTGTGGGGTGGGGACTGCCTGCGCCCACCCTGTCCCCAGCAGGGCTGGGCTGTGCCCTCACCGTGGCTCGGATGTGGGTCTGGGCCTCCCGAAGCTCTTGCCTCAGTCCCTCTGTCAGCGCGGTGACGGCGTACTTGGTAGCACTATAGAAATGGATCACGGAGTGGGGTGACACTTGGTGACCATACATGCTGGGTGGAGGGAGGGAAAGGGAAAGAAGAGAGTGAAGCCGCTGACAGCAACCAAGGCCCCTGCTGCTGCGTCAGGCAGCCCCGCCACTGGGATGCCGCACGGAAGCCTGCCCGGGGCGCCCACTGGAGGCCATCCTGGGGGCCCGCTATGGTAGCTTCTGGGATGCCAGCCACTCCTACCAGCCCTGTGCTCCCTGGAAGGCCAGCTAGGGGCCGGCACTCAGTATACCCTATTCTGTCCCTTCCCGTAACTGTGCCATTTGGCAGTTAACGGGATATTCAGTCCCTACTTTACCACCAATGAAACTGACACCCAAAGAGGTCAGATGAGCTGCAGCAGATCAGCTGGCTCAGAGGCTTAGTTGTGATCTGAGCATTAGTCCTTGGCCACCTGCCTCACCTGCTGATGTTAATGATATGCCCGTCATCCACCTTGCGCTCCTTCATGGACTGGTAGGCCTCCCGGGTGCAGATGCTGAGGCCCAGCACGTTCACCTGCAGGCCGGGGAGGGCAATGGGACGTCTCCAGCTCAGGCCCATCTGAGCAGGTAATAGAGCACCTCCCGCCCAGGGGAGTGGCATTCCAGAACAGTGTCCGGGGCCCATCAGAGACCACCAATGGCTCCAGGGTACCTTGCCTCCCCCTAAAGCCACCAGACCCAGCTGACTGCAGTGCAGCTCCTCTCCCGAGGTGACCCTCTCTCCCTCCAGTTTCTGTAAACAGGAATGGAAGCCCCCCAAACCCACGCATGACCCCGGAAATCTCCCTGTCTTGGCTGTCTCCTCTGCAAACAGTAGCATATCTGCCTTAGAGAACCAGCTCTTTTTCCTCCCCAAACGCCCTACTCTTCTCTGGGTCTATGTCCCTGGCCCTGCTCTCTTTAAAAAGCCTACAATCCTTCCTAAGATGGCTGTAAAAATCTCTGTCCTCAGGCACAGACCCTAGCCGCTCCCTGCCCTACCGAGGACTTTCTGCTCCCTCTCTGTCCCCTCCCCTGCGACTCTGGCAAGAGAAGGCCTGACCTTCCTTCCTTTTGCACCGTCCTTTACCCTCTGTTTCATCTCGGAACAGACTCGGCACAGAGGTTTTTTAGGGGGTGGGGTCCTTGGTCACAGGACTGCAGGGGACCCCCCCAAGCACATGGGGGCTTTCTGTCTTCCATGGCTTCTGCCAGAAGTGACCCCAAATCCCTACCCTTCATGAAACAAAGGCCTGAAGCTCCCGCCAAGTGTCCCCTCTCCCCCCAATGAGGACAAGCTTTCAGCAGGTCCTCATGTCTCTCCTCCCGAGAAGGAACAAGACCAGCCAGGACATCAGGTAAGTTTCTGTTTATCAGGTGTCAGAGCCAGGCATCGGGACAGATCACTCCCAGCATGAACCTGCTTCACGAGAGGCTTTCAGCCCTGTTTCTGGGCCTCTGAGTAATGTATGTTTCTGCAGAGAACTCAACCATGAAGACACACAGAGTGGGAGAAACATGTTCCCTGGACCGGGGGTAGTGATTCTCCGAAGTCTGGTGGGGTGGGGGTAGAAATGTCTTGGAAGGCAATCCTAACAGGCTTATATAATGTTGAAGCTGAAAGGGTCTTAAGGTTTTGATGTAAGTCTCTCATTTTACAGATGTGGAAGTTGAGGTCCAGATTTAGAGACCTACTTCCTGCAGGTGAGGACCACAACTCAGATCTCCCAGAAGGCCTCATTTTCACAGCTCATTGTTCCAATTTTCATTGTTCATTTCCAGGCCCACCTTTTAGGGTGCTAAACCAATTGTGCAAAAAGATGTGTCCCCATGCACACACTGCTTTCAACTTCTCAGAATACTTTTATACCCTAATATTGCCCCTTAATATTGTCTACAGGTTAAAAAACCCATGTCCTGAAAGCTATGTTTGGTCCATACGAAATTTTAAAACATTTTTAATTCACTCCCAACATGTGCTGGAAGGTTTCATTCACTCAAAAAATATCTATTGAGTATCTACTGAATATCTATTATGGGCTGAGGCTACATAACAGAGAATAAACCAGACGGAAATCCTTGCCCTAGGGCACCTGGGTGGCTCAGTCGGTTAGGCGTCTGCCTTCAGCTTGGGTCATGATCTTGGGGTCCTGGGATCGAGCCCCACATCAGGCTCTCTGCTCAGCGGGGAGCCGGCTTCTCCCTCTCCCCCTGTCCTCCCCCCTCTACTCATGCTCTTGCTCGCTCGGTCTCTCTCAAATGAATAAATAAAAAATCTTTATTAAGAAAAAAATCCTCCCCCTCGGGGAGCTGAGGTTTTGGAAAATGGGAGGGGTAGGATGTCCTATAAAAACCCTAGGATCTGGTCCCACTGGCCCCACACCACACTACTGCAGCGATGCTGGACGTCAGCAGCTACACTTGTACTTGGCCATGTGCTCCCCCATTTACTGCAGACTCCACCTGGTCCACCTCACTCATTTACATATTTACCCAGCCCCAGGGGACACTGGAGTTTGCGGCCCTAGATATTGATGGTATAGGTGTGTTCACCCCAATTAAACGTGACAGGACTGTAGCTCATAGAGGCCCGAAGCCATATAGTGACTGGCAGGGCCGGGCAAGAACCTCGTCTCCTGTCTTCCGGCTCCTTTGCTTCCAGTAAGACCACGTTCCCAAGCACTCAGCATGGTACTGACACACGGGGGCATCCAATAAGCAGTTCTCTTCCCTAAGCCTTTCTTCCAGTAGGAGGAAATCAGCCTGGACTTTAAAAACGCTCCTTTAAGGGGCTTGAAGGGAAAAAGAACAGAAAAGATATGCCACTCCTCCTCTCCCTCTGCCTTTGGTAGGGAAAGAAGCAAGGTGGGGGAGTCAAGGTGCCCCAGGTAGGAACCTGAAGCTCCCTCGCACTAGAAACCCGCCCCCCCACCGCAAGCAGCCCTCTGGTTCACAGAGCCCCGGCTCCCCACCCTACCCTCAGCCCCTCCCTCCAGGTCTGCAGCTCTTACATTGAACATGTCCTTCCAGCCGCTGGTACTGCCTGAGAGCAGGGTGTCGGGCCGGGCCAAGCCAGCATTGTTGATGCAGATGTCCACACCACTGTGCTGAGAGCGGACGGCCGAGAACATGGAGAGGATGTCCTCCTCGCTGGATAGGTCACATCTGTGGGGGATCAAAGTCCCAGGATAGCCTGCACTCTTACATTCAGCAGCCAGCTCCTATGAAACCCAACAGGGGGCTAACTGCGGTGAGCTGCTCACTCTGACATCTTCCCGCCCAAGACAACCTTCCTCTGCTGTCACCACTCAGACAACTCGATCCTCTGGCCGCCACCTTCCAGCCACACAGACATCGGGACTAATTGTCCTCTTTGGTCAAAGTCCCCCAGAGTGAGGGGCACCCAGGGGAGTTGAGATCATCAATGGAGCAATCTCCTGATAAACTGAGTCTTCACTTCGGAGAAGGGGTCCTAGGCACAGTGTGGCCTCTCTTTCTTTTGCCTCTCCTCCAACGGGAACTCCTTCTGTGCTCCTAGGTGAGCCGCACTCCACACCCCAGCCCATGCTGCTTCCACCAGTGCCAAGAGTCACTGAGCCGGTTACTGCAGGATTCTTTCCTCTCCATTCCCTCCTCTAGTTGTTCCCAGAAGGCCTAGGTCTGAGCTGTCCCCCTCTGTCTACAGAATGCAGCCTGTTGGCTTTCAAGCTGGGCCCAACTGCCATTCTCCCCTAGCCCTACCTCTAGTAAAGGCGAGGAAGTTGAGACAGATCTTTTCCTCTGTCCCACATGGTACCATCCTCTACCCTAAAATTTTGGGGGATATGATGAGGCAAGTCAGGTGGCAGGTGACCTTGGGCAGCCCAAGTGTATCAACAGGGACCTCAGCACACTGAGGAGCCCAGAGACAGACCAGAGGAAGCAGAGCCACTAGGAGGTGGCTGTGAGGGATGGGGTCATTCAGAAGCAGGAAGAAACCAAGCTATGTGGCCTTGGAGGCCAGTTTCTGGGTGTCTGAGCCTCGTGAAGGTGACTGTACCTGTGTGGGAGGAAGGGAGTTGGGGGTAGGAGGTGCTGTAGAGGAAGGCCAGGTAGGCCAACTGCCCTGGCCTCGAACCCCTTCCTCCCCAAATCAACATGGGAATAAAGGGCTGGATCAGGTGACCTAGAGATTATTTTCTGCTTTAACTTTGCTAGAGTTCAAAAGGTATGGTCCTCTGGGACTAAAAGGCTCCCTTTCACTTACTCACAGTCACCTCAGGAGACAGGGCTTCTCTCTGTTGGAGGCCAGAACTCAAACTCTGTTTCAGTATTCATCGATAAAAGCAAACTAAGGAAGCCTGGGATTCTCCCTTCCCCTGGCATACAACTTCTCCCTCCCATCTCCAGACTCAAATCCCCACAGGAAAGCCAGATTGGAGGGCCTGGGGACATAGTGCTCCCTGTCGCTGCCTTCTCATTGTCCCACCTGCCCTCATTTATCCTCAGAAATGACCCGAAATCATGTCTGTCCCCTCACAGCACAGGCATGTCTCCCTCATTAAAGGAATCATCCTGGGGCTGGTGAGCAGCCTGGGATCCCCTTGGAGATTAGGGACCCCCCCTTTCCTGGCTAGTTTGGAGTGGGGGAGTAGGGAGAGAAGGCAGCAGTGGCTTTAGAATTAAGGAATCCAGAGGTCTAAGTCCTGGTCTGCTCATCTAGGCTCCAAGGCAGGGGCTGGGCCCTGAGATCCTCATATTAAGAGAAAGGGAAGGGTAGAGTAGGGCAGTAGTATGGCTGGGTGACCTTGGGACTATCTAGGCAGCGAGCTATAAAGTGTACCTTTGGTCAGCAGCAGGGGAGGAGACAGTCCTCCTTCCCGTACACCTTTTCCCTCTGTCCCCACCCAAGGCCTCCTTGCACAGGGACTCTGAGCAATGGTGAAGGTAATGCTCACTCCCACACCTTCAGCTAAGCACTGGCCCAAACCCGGAGAGTGAGTCCTGCCAGGAGCAAATCCAAAGATGACCTATGATGGAAATTTCTCATCTTCTTCCTTCTAGTTACAACATGGGCAACTTGATTTCATTTTTCTCTGAGCTCTTGTCGCTCACATCTTGGGGCTCCCAACCCCAGGTTAAGAGAAAAACCAGGAGTTCCAGTTCCACACTACTTTGTCCCCTCAGGGCTCACATATTCCCTGCCCTATTTCACCTACTCAGTCCCACCTAGGACAGTGAAATTGGAGAAAGGTCTATCTGTAAATATCCCCCTGGGTCAGGGTTAACTCTCAAATTCGGGGGTGAGGAGAGGGCAAGTCTCTTCCAAGAAGCTCCATTCCCACCCCAACCCCACCCTCAGTCCTGGGTTTAAAAAAAAAAAAAAAAAAAAGAGCCACTTTGCTCTACTTTGTGGGTCAGGTCTGGGGACTAGAGGAAACAGCCAGTAGCCAATTTAGCCCCTGCGGCCAGAGAGCTTTATTTCCTTCTCCTTGGCTTCCCCTTTCCTCAGCCTACCGGTGCAGGCAGATAGGGAGAAAGATGCCAGGTATTCAGAGATTTGGTACACTGGAGTAGAGGCTTTCAGGAGTAGGAAGGGGCTCCTTAAAAGACCGGACTTTCTAAATAAATGGGAAGGGAGAGGCCTGCCCTACTAGGTATCCCTCCCTCCCACTCTGATCCCGTTGCAAATGGCCTTGGGGTGGTGGGCAAGGAAAGACCCCCGACCAGACCCTACCGCGACGGAAACGACGCCTCCCAGAACTACCCTCTCCCCCGCGGGGACTTACCTCGATGTTGCCTACGGTGCGGGCACAGCCCACTACCTTCAGTCCCTGCTGGACCAGAGCCCGGGCCACAGCCGCGCCGATGCCCCCCGAAGCTCCCGTCACCAATGCCAACCGGTCCCGCCACCGCTCCATGCCAGCCGTGGCGGTGGCCCCGAGCCGTGCTCCCACCTCGCTCCGCGAGCCGGACATTTGGATCGCGGAACGTCCGCCACGGGTCGCAGGGGCTCGGCCGCTCTTCGATCACCGCCGCGGCAGCTACAGCAGCCGATATACCTCGCTCCGAGCCGCGCCCGAACCCGCCTCCATTCCGCGGGGCCCGGGGCTGGGGCTCCACCCTCCGCTCTCCCGCGACCCACCACATCCAGCGGGTGATGTCCGCGGCCTGGCCGACCCCGCCCCCAGCCTGGAGTTAAGTGGGAAGCCACGCCTCCCACGGCGCCCGGCCGCGCGGGAAGGTCCCGAGACCTTGAGGTCTTGCTTCCCATAGGGGCAAGGAAACCGAGGTTTTAGCCGGGGCTTGCTCCAGGCCCCAGGCCGCACACTTAAGGTGACTCCAGCGCCCCCGGTGGCTGATGGGAAGGGTTCAGCCCAGAAAAGGATGAGTGTCTACGCGATCACCGCCCAGGTCCGTTCAGAGACTCTCAACCCTGCCTGATCCCTCGGCGTTACCAGAATGAGAACGCAAAGTTAATAGTGGAAATATTCCCAAGTACACGTTTACTGGCCTACTGTCTCCAACTGTGCTAGGCGCTCCCACTCCCAGTGAAACAAATGTATCACTATGTATACCAGAGATTAAAGCAACAGCTAGTATTTATTGAGCGCTGTGTAATGGGCATTTATAAACACTTTAGATATATTAACAAATATACACAGCAGCCCTATGAGATACTACTTATTAGTTTTCATTTTATAAACGACTATACGAGACAGAAAAGGGTGAAGCATGGACTTTTAAACTGTCCAGTCCTAGGCCAAGGAATGCGGTCCTCCTAATCTGCCTTCACTTCATTCTCCCCTTTGTCTCTTCTTGGGCTATTGGTTGTGCTCAGAGGGTGTTCACTTTGCTCTCTAACTACTCAGGATGTTCCATCAAAGCTCTGGAAACTGCCTTCCTTACCTCTGCATTCTTAATATAGCCATCCTTCCAAAGAAAAAACACCTCTGCCTAAGGAATCCCTCCGCTGCAAGCAATAGTATAAGCAGTAAATGCGGCTGGTTTATTCATTCACCAAGTACTCCTGTGCTTGGCCCAAGGATAAAGATTAAGATAAAATAAAACCAGCCCTTGCTTTCAGGAATCTCAAGAGAAAACTAGACTGCAAAGATGGCGAAGAGAGGTTTGGGCTCGGACCCTGGGGCTGTGGGAGATCCTTAGTCATTTTTTCTAGATTCCCGGATGAAAGTGAACAAGTCAGAGAGTCTCATTTTACTTCTGCCCCACCCCTATACAACACTTAGATTTGAAATGGCAACCAAGGAGGTGTATCAAAGAAATGCCACCATCTATAAAAATTAAATCTAAGTTTTTGCTGTTGCCCACCTGAAATCTGGTTAAATGGTAGAGAGCCCATAAAATTCACTCCAACCCCACTGCACAGAGAGGTACTGACTGTCCCACTCTTTGCCTGCTGCCCACCAAATATTATCAACATGCAGACACAAAGCTCTAAGCAATGTGTTTACTGAACTACTGACTCAACCATTTTTTTTAAATGGCAGCCAAATGCTAGTCCTGGGGGAATTTCTCTCCTTCAATACACACAGACAGTTTATGGAAGCAGTAAACTGTAAAGCCATAGTGACTTTATTGTTGGAAACCAGATAAGGAGCATGCACTTATACATTGCAATGTGGTTAGCTCTGGGTGCAGCCTTCTAGTCCCAGGTCTACATGCTACAGTAATTCCTTCTCAGGCAACCCTTGGTGGAAATTCTGCCAAGTTCTGTTTCCATTCTTCTAGTTCAATACGAATCTCTGAATTTAAGGTGTTTTATGTTAGGTATGAGGGAATTTTTAATAATAGCAATTAACAATGTCATGAGAAAGATGCTAGCTATAGCCAGTATTTAAAGGTATCACAGCAAATTTATTCTTTCAAAACACAAGACTGAAAACTGCTTTTCCTGGCTGTCAACTCTGGTCAAGGGAAGAATTTTGTCCTCAACAATCTGTATCTCTATCCTCATTAGCACTTCATCTGATATAAACAGTGGCCAAGTACCGAGTTCAAAAGTGGCAAATATTAAAATACTGCCACACATTAAGTAGAAACATGTACACCAATTTTTACTATGCGTATTAATAAATATTCTTTATTTTAAATTTTGCACATTGCGCTTTAACATTACATCCAAACATTTCGCAAGTGGATGTCTACTTTGTAAAACCATATATTCAGCTCATTGTCATTTCTGTACAGAAGTATAAGTACAACATTACTTTTTGCCACTAAGTTGCTTTAGTAAGTCTCACAGGAAGAGAAACATTTAATGAAGAGAGATGGCTTAAATCATATGGCAGGCCTGCGCAGCCACGCAACTAAAGACACAAGCCTGAAGAAAGAACAAATTAATGAGGTTACCTCCACCGTCTCCCAAAACAAGAAAGAATCACATTGATTTAAGATAAAATTTTGCCATAAGTCACTAAATTAAGAGTTTTTTGAAAGAGAAGGCGCAGTAGTCATCTTGAGTGTTTCATTGAAAGACAGAGCTATTTTATTTATTTAATTTGCTCCAGCCGTTGTCAACCAGCCACTACAAATGGGCCTCTTGTGATCATTTAAGCGGCAGTATTTATTAAATTTCTCCTTCAGATGCTGTCGGTATTGTTCTCTATTGCTGTAGAAAGACTGGTTATTAGCCATAAATGACTGTATTTCATCTTGTGAGATAAAGATTTCCTCATCTGAAGTACATTCAGACTCATCCTGCAAATTAAAGCAGTAGTTAAGATCATGACTTATTTTAGGAATGCCAAATACTATGCTGATGGAGGACAGCTAAAAATTAAGGCAGTCTAGCCTTTTAATTTCAATTTAGTCACATAAAGTCTTTGATTGGACTGTTTACAGAACAAGCAACATGTCATTCTGTCTTAGAAAGTACTAAGTAAGAATAAAATCCAACTCAACTCAGTTTGAAACTCTGGATCTACAATTTGTCCTAGAAGACCTATGAGCCTGACAGACTACTGACATGTCTTTGCCTTTAAAAATGACTGACTAAGGGCACCTGGGTGGCCCAGTGGGTTAAAGCCTCTGCCTTTGGCGGCTCAGGCCATGATCCCAGGGTCCTGGGATTGAGCCCTGCATTGGGCTCTCTGTTCAGCAGGGAGCCTGCTTCCCCCCTCCCTCTGCCTACTTGTGATCTTTGTCAAATAAATAAATAAAATCCTTAAAAAAAAAATTACTAACTAGAAATGGTTACAACTAGTTACCAAATTTTAAATAACCAGACTGATCTGGTTTTTAACCATCTAGTTCTATGCTGAAACTTTTATCTCTACAAATTAAGTAAAATATAACCTTTTTAAAACTTATGAAATTTAACCACCATGTAAAAACAAAAAAATTGTTCTATAGGATTTGGTTCCATTAGGAGCCGAACTACTATACAGATGTATCACCCTTCTCTTTTCTTCCCCTCCTCCAAGCTCCACACTATGTACTGGGTTGCTCATAATCAAGCATAATTCATCAAGATGTGGAGTCTGTATAAAAGATTTTCCAAGTTCAGTTATGCCTTTATCCTATATAACCGAAAGGAAGTAACCTAGAAGAGTGGGCTCTAGTTCAGATTCTACATATTTTCCTGGTCTGGAAAGCAGTCCATAATAAACTGCCACTCAGAAAGGCAGTTTGCTTACAAATAACCTTCTCCAAGGAGGCAGATTCCTGGACATGATGCTAACTATATTCCCCTCTCCCAACTATTCTCTCCTATCTTGGAGACAAAAGAGGACAAGAAAATGTGCTCTAGAGCAGTTGCATAACTCATGAGGGGAAGAGCAGAAATGAAGTCACACACAAAAAAACCCCGAAAGACCGCCCTTAATTTCTTAAAAGCTCCCCCACCCAGTCCCAACTTCAAATTCTCAAATATTGCGCCCTCCCCTTTCCTACCCCATGAGCAGTTATTCACAGTTAAGATATCCTTACTTACAAGGAGTTCAACTAAGCTCTTGGCACCTTTTCCGGAATCAGGACCAAATGACGGTTCTGTGGATTCTGCAAACTGTGGTACGTTTTTCCTATGTTCAAACCAAGGCAGTGGCTGCCCACCCTTTTCAGAACTGCAACAGCTTTCAGGATGTGCATCTTTGGTCTTGTCTCGGTGAAACACTGTGTGCACGGTATTTCCTGAGGTCTCTCGATTACCTGGATCTGTAATACAGCTTCCAAGCTTTTGGATCTGGAACCACAGCAAAGGATGTCTCAGGTAAAAAGAGAGGAAATTACTGCAATTACTCTTTAAATAAAGGGGGAAAGGGGCGCCTGGGTGGCTCAGTGGGATAAGCCTCTGCCTTCAGCTCAGGTCATGATCCCAGGGTCCTGGGATCAAGCCCCACATTGGGCTCTCTGCTCAGCAGGGAGCCTGCTTCCCCCTCTCTCTCTCTCTGCCTGCCTCTCTGCCTACTTGTGATCTGTCAAATAAATAAAATCTTAAAAATAAATAAATAAATAAATGAATAAAGGGGGGGAAGGTGCATTAACTAATAGTGTGTTAACTTTTTAGAAGGAATGGTGAGTAACAGCAGCAGCTGGCATTCAGTAGGCGCTTACTACATACCAGATGCTATACTAACCCATTAATACCATCTATCTCATTTCATCTTCTCCAAACTTAATCTGATAGGGACTAGTCTCTCCTTACAGATGGGACAACTAACATCCAGCAAACTGTGCTCAAGATTACAGAGCTAACTGACTTAAAAGCATTACAAAAAATGGGGTGTCTGGCTGGCTCTTTTGGTTAATTGTCTGCCTTCAGCTCAGGTCTTCGTCCTGGAGGTCTGGGATCAGGCCCCTCATCATGCTCCCTGCTTGGCGGGGAACCTGCTTCTCCCTCTCCCTCTGCCCCTCACTCGTGCTCTTGCTCTCTCTCTCATACATACATACATGAAAGTATTATGAAAAGAATGAACTGGATTTATGACTCACATGGATTGCTGGTCAAATGACCACATCAGACACACATGCATACAAAACTCACAAGATGAGCAACTGATGGGAACTGCAATCTTTTTTTTTTTTTAGTATTTTATTTATTTATTAGACAGAGAGAGATCACAAGTAGGCAGAACAGACAGAGAGAGGGGGAAGCAGGCTCCCTGCTGAGCAGAAAGCCAGATGTAGGGCTAGATCCCAGGACCCTGAGATCATAACCTGAGCCGGAGGCAAAGGCTTAACCCACTGAGCCACCCAGGCACCCTGGGAATTGCATTCTAAAGGTACTCATTCTCAAATAATAATAAATACTAGCAACTAAGCTGCAGACTTGCCACTCCAAGGAAAATCGATTGCTCTCCTCTCAACAGCAAAGGTTTAAGAATTTTAACACTTACATGTTCATCACATTTCAACATCTTGCTTTTCTTTTTCTTTTTTTTATTTTTTCCTTTGGTGTTGTTCTCTTCAGAATTTGCCCAACATTCAACACAACTATCACCATCATCCTCTTTGTCTTCACAGTGATGAACACAAGAGTCATCACCTGCAGAAATCAATAATCTCTTATTCATGTGCTTTAATCAGCCATGTAGTAGAAATAATTGGGAAGCTTCATCTGAACGTACCGTGTTCATCATGATTACAAATGCCTTCAGTGCAGGCAACATCCGAACCCTCCCGAGAACCTGTTTCACTCCCTTCCATGCTAGATGAATATCCACAATCACTACCATTACAGTGTGGTGATAAACCTGCGAATCAATCAGTTGAAAGTTACAATTAAGATACCAATAAATACATTACACAAAGAGTGAACCAACTGGAAACTACGGAAAAATTTCAAAATTGATGGCTTATTGAAAACAGAAAGTGAATTAAGTAACAAAAACATGATTAGGGGCTTACAGTTTTTTGTTTTCATCAAAAAATAACTGAGCCAGCCAGGCACTCCAAGAAAAAGGAAATATTAAGTGTCTAAGTTACAGGATCTCTAAAACTTTTTTTCTCGAAAACTTCTTATATCTATTTTATTTTTCAAGTTTTGTTTTGTGTTTGTTTTTTAAAGTAATCTCTATCCCCAACGTAGGGCTTGAACTCATGAGCCCAAGACCAAGAGTTGCATGTTTTACTGACTGAGCCAGCCAGGTGTCCCATTTACATTTGAAAAAGAGAAAAAAGAAAGAAAGAATACTGGGGTGGGGGAAAACCCAGGTGGCTCAGGTGGTTAAGCATCTGCCTTTGGCTCAGGTCATGATCCTGGGGTCCTAGGATTGAGCCCCACATTGCGATCTCTGCTCAGCGAGGAGTCTGCTTCTCCTCTCTATCAAATAAAATCTTAAAAAACAAAAACCAAAAAGCTGTAGAGGCCCCTGGGTGGCTCAGTTGGTTGAGTGCCTGACTCTTGATCTCAGCTCAGGTCTGGATCTCAGGGTCTTGAGTTCAAGCCCCATGTTGGAGCTCCACGCTGGGCGTGGAATCTATATAAAAAAGAAAAAAGAGGCGTGGTACAGTCAGTTAAGCATCAGACTCTTAGTTTTAGCTCACAACATGATCTCAGAATCATGCGATCAAGTCCCACATAAGGCTCCACTCTCGGCACGTAGTCTGCTGGATATTCTCTCTCCCTCCCTCTCTGCCCCACCCACTCGTGCTCTAAAATAAAAAAATAAAAATCTTAAAAAGAAAAAAACAAAACTGTATCTGGTTACCTTTCTTTATTTTAGGGGACCCCAAGAGATTGCCGCTGCTAGGACAGGTACAGGATGTATTTTCATTGGTAACAATGACTTCTACACAACCATTACCATCTTCAGTGCTGCCACAGGCTTTGCAGCTGTTTTCTATGAAGTCTGTTTCCTTTAAGGATCAATATTAAGAGATAGTAAAAAATATTACCTTCATAATGGATACATTTTAATTTCCTTAACATCAACCAATTAGATAGGAGCTAGGAGGTTAACAATTGAAAAAATTATTCTCATGAAAAAAATCACTAAACCACTGATCAAGACTATGAAACAACTAAAAGCAAGTTAAGAGTTAATGGTATCAGGAAAGTCTAGGAAAGTAGTTCTCAAAGTGCAGTCTGCTGATTCCCTAGGTCAAAACTATTTTCATCCAAATGTAAGATGTGACTTGCTGTTTTCCACTGTATTGACACACTGATGGCACAAAAGCAATGGTGGGGAAAAGTTGCTGGTACTTAGCACAAATCAAAGCAGTAGCAATCAAAGGGTACTAACGGTTACTATATTCCTTACTTGACAAGCACGCTTAGGAAATCAATAAGTGGATACTCAACAATGTCTTTGATGAAGACATTAAAAATATTTTTATTAAGTATCAATTCATGAGTATATACCTTTTTAATAGTCTATGTGACAAAGAGGAAGTATGCTTTAATTAAAGCACTCTTGCTGCATACCAAAGTACAATGGTCATCTCAAGGAAGAGCACTTGAGCAACTGTTTGAGTTATAAACTAAACCAGGTGTTTTTTTTTTTTTTATCCTGGAACATCAATTCTGCTTCAAACAATGAGAGACAAACTGTGGTTATTCAGACTTAGACACTTAAAAAGACATTTTCTCAAAAAATGAAGTCAGCCCATCACCTCGAGGAAAATAATGGACCGTATTTGTGGTCAGTGATTAAAAATTCAAACTTTCAAATCACAATCAAAATTCTGAAAACTTATATAAACAAGCACAATAAGCTTGAAGTGTCCCACTACTTAAAGACCTTTCTGATGAGATCAGTAGTGGTTTTAACATGATTATGTGATATTATGTAAAGAAATGTCAGTATCTGGCAAGATCTGCATAACTCAGTATATCCGTATCTTTCAAATGACCAATGCATGATGTTACAAAATCATGCATGAGTAAAAGATCTATTCAAAGTGCAAGACTGACTAATGGACTTTAATTTAACTGAGTTATGAAAAGGTCACTGATAGGTGCCAGGTTCCATATCATAACTAATCTTTAAGACACTACCTCTTGTTGAGTTGTAATGCCAAAGAAGAACAGCCACAACTATCTGAAAAAGTTTGTAATATTCCTCCGTTTTCTGAGACCAGACTTTCTTCACATGCTTCAACCAAGCAACATATGGAAACAGACTAAATGCAGAAGCAGATCTGAGAATCCATCTAATTCCTTTTAAACCAAATATTAAAAAGATCCGCAAAAATACAAAATAATGCCACTCTTCTCACTTCTTTTTTGGGGGGGAGTGGGGGTAGGACATTTAAAAAAATATTATTCATGTTAACATAATAGAAGGGCTTATTTTTAAAAATAATTTAAAATTTCTCCATTTTAATTTCTAATACAGTGAATGTTGGTAAGTATAATCCATATAAACAAAAAGCACATTGGGCCCTGTAATTTTTAAGAATTCAAAGGGGTCCTGAGACCAAAATGAACTGCTCTAGGTCATGCATGGAGTTAATTTCCCCATTTGATTTAACAACACACTAAGATCGGGTAAAAAGATAATTATTGAATATTATAAAAAGAATACATGACATTAAAAATTTTGGCTTTTACCAATTATAGTAGGAAAAAAGCCAATATACAAGTTGCAGCTCATCACATTCTGGAAACGCATGGTAAAAATGCCAAAATCTAGCAAAAAGCAATACTACATAATAATGAGTCAAAATTATGGAATATTACCTTCTCTTGGCTTACTTCCTTTTCATCTGCTGCTTGTAAGGGAGTAGGAATATCACATACACATTTATTTTTTCGTCTATTCTTCCGTTTTTGGCGTTTCTTTTCTTGCTTGAGTTCTCTTACTCGTTCCTCCTCTGAAAATTCCTCACAAAGTTGTTCTAATCGGCTAATACCCTGTACTTTTTCCACAGTCATCTATTAAAAAACAAAGTTGAGAATAAATATTGGTCAGAACTTCCTTTATTTTCCATGGAATTTCTCATCTGCTAATTAGATTTTTTGAACTCAGGGTTTTAACTCACGACCCTGATTGAGAAGACCTTAGCTGAAATCAAGAGTCAGACCTTCAACTGACTGAACCACCCAGGTGCCCCTCACTTGCTAATTTTAAATGATACCACATACAGACAGATAATTCATGTTGCAATTTTACAGGGCATCCCCACAAAGAATCTTCAATTTTAATACTTTAAATGATGACATCTTAAAATCCATAGCAAGTGAATATACTATGAATCCCTACAGGAAAGGCAGACTTATACACACTCCTATTCCAAACTGGCAATATTCTAGTTTCAAATTCCAAAATTTTTAACACAGCAGAGTAAATATTCATTTCTTCACACAATGAGAAGACTATTTAACCTGATTAGATGATCTAGTTTCTGAAGTCACAAACATACAGAGAGAAAAGGAAACAGGAATGTGTTCACCAAGAACCAGTACAAATCTCCTCAGACTCCCCAGAACAATGTTTAAAGCTCATGGATATGCTTCTGAAAAAAAGGGTTTATAGCTTTCATACTATTCTCAAAAGGGATCTGTGACCCAGTTAGGGTTAAGAACATGCCCTAGAATGTAACAAAATGTTCACTAGCCAATATTTTATGTGCTGACAGTGTAGAACCCCCCCCTCAAAAAAGTTATCAAATCATAAGCACTAAACCCAATACCAGCAATATAAAGAGGCTACTGGACATCAGCAGGTAAGCAGAGACTCGCTAAAAGTTTCTAATTTTGTTGCTTATTTTGGGGTTGCTTTTAACTTTTCATTAGATATATTTGATAGCAACATCTTGCTAAATTAAATAATCATAAACTTCAGTTTTCTACTCTGAGAAGTCTAAAAACCAAAGCTGGCAGAATAACAGGACTGAAAAACAAAGAAAAATCCACAACCCTCTTCTAACTTCCAATTCCCCTCCCTGAGCCCCTCCACATACATGACACTATCACTGGATCACAAGCCTCTGAGGTAAAATCAGACTGGCAGCTTATATTAACATTCAGTGTAATAATGTGACTAAGCAATCTTAGACACTGAAGCAGCCCACTGTTCTTACCTCAAAACTCTTGCGTAAAGCATCAACACCAAGATAGAAAAGCATCTGCCATGTTTGCTCCTCTGCTCGTAGTTTTTGCCAGATTCGATGCAGTCTTTCATAAAGATGAATTCCCAAGCAGGTCAGAACTTCCTCTTGAGCTATATCTATTGTCTTAGCATGCCTTTCTCTTCGCCTGTAAAGGAGAATAAATCATACATAATTCCTAATATCCTTTACTGAAACACTAAGAGACAGATAAACTTCTTCAAGTTCAGGTTTTAAAACACAATTTGCATATGTAATAACAAGCCAGTTATACATTCAAATTCAATATACATATAAACATAGAAGCACACATGTATATAACCAATAAGAAATACACATGCAAGCAGAACTCAGTCCTAATATTGCTAAAAATAAGATAATTCAGGAACTGGCCCTGAAGAGATTTTTTCTGCGGCACAGAGAAGTTATATATGTGTCCAGCTCACAGGTAGGCATGACAGCTCCTTTCACCTTCCAATTTTAACAAATGCCTACTTGCTTTGTTTCTTTTTTTTTGAGGGGGAATGGAGAAATGCCAACGTGATTCAATCATGGACAAAAGCCCTCCAGGCTAGTCTTCAGTAGAAGTGTTCACGGAATTTCAGTTGTAAGTCTTCATGTTCTAAATGGCTAGCAGAAAGTAGGCACTCAAATGAGAGCTGATACACAAAACACAAAGAAAAATGGATTCAATTTATTCTAGAACAACTTTCTCTGATATTATTTTCACAACAAAGCCAGAGATAAAATTTTAGGTTCTTATACAATTCAGTAATAATATACACAGTTCATGAATTACACTCAATAAAGTATTTAATCCCCTGCCGCAAAGACCTTTCTTCCTATGCAAAAACCATCATTATGAACAAAATTTAAACATGGAAATGCATGGATGGAGGGGGTAAATCCCTTCTAATCATTTTCTAATGAAAATGATAATCTATAATAATGAAAGCCAAAAAAAAAAAAAAAAGCCTATCTACTTCAAGCAACAAGGAGCAGAGGACTGAAATGAACACCACACAACACTTTCTCCCTATTTTTACTCCGTCAAATGCATACTTTAAAGAAAGCAGAATCTTCACAGGCACACTTTAATTTATACATATATCATATGTACTGAGGCAAAAGGTGATGGAAATAAACTTTCAGTAATAAAATGAAGCAAAGCGCTAGATAGCCCATTCTAGCAAATTACATACTCATACCCTCCTGCGAACTCTGGCTCAGCACGACCCAAGAGATGTGCAATGAAGTCTGTTTCACAGCAAACGTGTATGTGCCGTTCGTGTGGACAGCACCGCAAGCCTTCATAAAGTGCAGCACAGTAGCCCTTCTCTTTGCTGCAATCAAGTTCACCAATAAGGATGTTGTATGCTCGGAGGACTTTATTTTTGCAATCAGTGCAAAACCTGTTGAAAAGAAAAACTTCAAAATTAAGAACTAGCTGCATAATTATTTCATGAAACACGTTAACAGTGTACTAGACAATGACACTCCCCTACCATGTGGAGCATTAAAAAAAAAAAAAAATCCTCCAGACACACATTTAAAACATACACATGTAAGAGAAATACAAATTTAGGGATTACAGTATAGCTAGATCTCCATTTGCAAATAAATGATTCTTAAACAAGACAGACACATGAAAACAAGAAGCCACAAACCAGTGACTCAAGAATCCCATTCCTTTTAGCCTCTAAAAACAGTTGTGCTACCTTCATTCAGTAAACCTGAATCCAAATGTTGCTATGACATTTTAATATCTTACTAGTTAAACATAAGAAAGAGGGTAGGGGCAAGAAAGTGACACATGTAGTTTTAGTTTACTAGTAATTTCCAAAAGTCAAATTTCTTTTTAAAAAACGCATGTTTCTCAATACATAATCATAATATTGAGAACATATACATAGAAATGTAGTCTAAATTTCAGTGTAGAAGAGAAAAAAAAGAATGTGAACATAGAGGATGATGACATTTTATTTTAGAAGCCAAATATTATTCAATCAGAAAGAAAAACAGAACCTTGTTTCTTTAGCTTTGCTTTCCTGAAACAAGAAAGAACTTGGTCTGATAAAAAAAGATCATAAAATTAATAACTGCATCTCTGAGAAGATCAGCTGTGGCGGAATGAGGAAATTTCAATCTCTTTATATTCATCTCCCTAGTTGGCCTCTTCTGTTACAATGGCTTCAGCCAATAGGTACACCTCTCACCTCTATAGCTCTTGTTCAAGTCTTCTGCCCTTACCTGAGGGCTAAACCCATACTGTAAAATGGGAGACATCACAGATGTACAATAGGCAACATGTTTTAACTTCCTCTCCAAAACCAAGGGCAACATGAATGTTCCCTTACAAACCTATTAAGAACATCACCATTCATACAGTCACCCAGGAAGAAAACCTCAGTTAACCTCCAACTTCTTCTTAGGTCCTCTTTTAGGGGTGGAGCCAACTGGTATCAATTTTTTCTTACATATCTTACAGGTCTTCTTCCCAATTACCCCTGTCCTGTTTTAAACTGCCTAGACAATTTACCCTGCTCCTGTACACATACCATATAGACAATGGACTACCATGAACATAAGAGATTATGTCCCTACTTCAAGTTTCTTCTGCTTCCTCCCCACCCCTTTCTGCATCCTTTTCCATCTGCCTAAATCATGTCCATCTTTAAAGATGCCTTCTGCAATTCCCATAACTAGAATTCAGCCTTCCTCTGTCTTCCCATATTTGCAATTTATACTTCTTACTTTATTTACCCTTATACTGCCACACATTAGTTGATGCACACATTTGTTTCTTGAAATGAATACATGTTAATATAGAGTCCCTAAGCCCAATTAGTAAACACAAGCAATAATGTTGACAAGTTAAATCACTGATGCACTAATGCTTCAAAAAACACAGAAATATGCAAAAATTAACACAAAATGGACTAAAGACCTAAACAGTAAGACATGAACTACAAAACTCCTAGAAGAAAACACTGGAAGAAAAATTTCATGCACTGAATAGGTGATGATTTCCTAATCTTCAGGAAAATGTAAATCAAAACCACAGGATACTACTTTATATACATTTAGCATAGCCACTATTAAAAAAAATAGAAAACAACATGTGCTGGCAAAGATGTAGAGAAATTGGAACCCTTGATACTGGTGTTGCTGAAACTGTAAAATAATGCTGCCAATAATGGCAAAGAGTATGGCATTTCCTAAAAAAATTTAAAAACAGAACTACCGTATGATCCAGCAATCCCATTTTTAAGTATATATCCTAAAGAACTGAAAACAGGATCTCAAAAAGATATCTGCACACTCATGTTCATTGCAGCATTTGTATAAATAGCTAAGATGTAGGGGCAACAACCAAAATGTCCACTGATAGGCAAATGCGGTACATACATAAATGGACTATTATGCAGCTTTAAGAAGAAAATTCTGCATCATATGCTACAGCATGGATGAACTCTTGAGGACATTATGCTAAGTGAAATAAGCCAATCACAGAAAGACCAATACCGAATGATTCTACAATAATCAAATTCATAAAAAACAGAAAACAGAACCCTGGTTGCCAGGGCTTGGGAGAAGGGGTTGATGGGGAAATTGTTGTCCAATGGGTATAGTTCCAATCATGTAAAATGAAAAATTCTTGAGATCTACTGTACAACAATGTGCATACAGTTAACAATGCTGTAATGTTCACTTAAAAACTGTTTAAGAAGTAAACTTACTTTTTTTTTTTACCACAATAAAAAAAAGTCTTCCCCTTGAGGGGGAGAATAAAGATTTGGATGCAGAAATAACAAATTCTTCTGTGTTCTTTAGTTAAAAAGATTAAGTTTACATTTTCAGGTAAATAAATGGTTAGATGTCACAGAGTAGCAAAAATAAAACTTGAAAATATCTTCCTCTTATTTTGCTAACTTGAAATCCTCATAGTAGTTTAATCTTTGTACATAATCTTTAATATTTGTAATAATCATAAATAACATAAGCATAAGTAGACAGCAATTTAAAAATACTATATATAAGCTATAAGAATGAAAATGATTTTTCCTGTTTTCAAAAGAAAACTTGCACATAAAAGTAAAAAAAATGTTAAGGCAGAGGTTTCATAGTTTAACACTTTATTTCTAATAATTTACTACCATAATACTTAACCAGCCAGTGTTATAAAATCTTTATTGTAAGTAGGCTCCACACCCAGCACCAAGCCCAGCATGGGGCCTGAATTCACACCCCTGAGATAAAGACCTGAGCTGAGATCAAGAGTCGGACACTCAACAGACTGAGACACCTCAGTTCCCCATCAAATTTTTATTATAAAGTACTCAAAAAAGTCCACTAAATAAAATAGAACTGTCAAAAAGGTACATTATTCAGATACTTTTTAGGATTTTTTTTTTTTTTTTTTTTGACAGAGAAAGAGAGCGAGCAAGCGCACAAGTAGGGAGAGCAGAAGGCACAGGGAGAGGAAGAAGCAGACTCTCCACTGAGCAGGGAGCCCGATGTGGGGGCTGATTCCAGGACCCTGGGACCATGATCTGAGCCAAAGGCAGACGCTTACTGACTGAGCCACCCAGATGCCCCCATTATTAAGACATCAGAAATCATTTTCAACTGATTATACATACCTCAAAAACTCAAACTGGACCTAAAACAAGAACTAGATACACAGGAATAACAAGCATTTGCAAATCTGGCATGCAAACATTCACTAATGTGCTTACTATGTGCCAGATATTGGGTTTTTTAAATATTATATATAATACATTCACATTTTATTTATATATTTTTAAAATTATTATTTTTAATTAACATATAACGTATTATTTGTTTTAGGGGTACAGGTCTGTGATTCATCAGTCTTATACAACACCCAGCACTCATCACAACACATACCCTTTCCAGTGTCCAACACCTTGCCACCCCACCCCTCCAGCAACTCTCAGTTTGTTTCCTAAAATTAAGAGTCTCTTGGGGCACCTAGGTGGCTTAATCGTTAAGCCTCTGCCTTTGACTCAGGTCATGATCCCGGGGCCCTGGGATGGAGCCCTGCATCGGGCTCCCTGTTCAGCAGGAAGCCTGCTTCTCCCTCTCCCACTGCCCCTGCTTGTGTTCTGTCTCTCCTGGTCTCTCTGTCAAATAAATAAATAAAATCTTTAGGGGAAAAAAAAAAAAAGAGCCTCTTATGGTTTGTCTCCCTCTCTCGTTTCATCTTGTTTCATTTTTTCCCTTTCTTCCCCTATGATCCTCTGACTTGTTTCCTAAATTCCATGTATCAGAGAGATTCTTTTTCTTTCTCTGACTTACTCTGCTTAGCATAATAATACCCTCTAGTTCCACCCATGTTGTTGCAAATGGCAAGATTTCCATTTTTGATGCCTGCATAATATTCCACTGTGTGTGCCCCACTCTCCCCTCCACATCTTCTCCATCCATTCATCTGCTGATGGACATCTAGGTTCTATTGTGGAACCTAGCCAGATGTGGACATCTGGCTATTGTGGAACTCCTGCCATAAACATGGGGTGCAGGTACTCCTTCAGATCACACATCTGTTATCTTTGGGGTAAGTACCCAGTAGTCAATTGTTGGGTCATATGGTAGCTCTATTTTCAACTTTTTGATGAATTTACATACCGTTTTTCAGAGTGCTGCACTAGCTTGCATTCTCAGCCACATACTGTTCTAAGTAAGCCTGACCGGGTATCGTCTATCCCCATGACAAATTTAATCCTACAATTCATCCATACTATCATTATTTTTGTCTTAAGAAAAGAAAGGAAGGCACAGAAATGTTAAGTAACTTGTACCAAGTTATAATTAGTAGAACCCAGATTCAAAGCAATCTTTCTTAATCATACTTCTCCCCACCCTTCAGATAGTTATTAAATAGATTCCACCTTCTCAGAGCCCTAAAATATTGCCACCCCAATAAAGGAAGTATCTACAACCATTACAGGGAACTACTAAACATTAGCTGTTATAACTAGTCATTTATCACCCCAAAAAGCTATCTTTTGGATGGACCAATTAATGTTGACTATAGGGATCAATTCATATTGAAAAAGGAAGCAATCTATAATGGACCTACATATTTAAATGTTTTTTGTCTGTATAATCCCTCTCCGACAAAACTGCAAATACTTGACATATTCTCTACTCTCTTGGGTATAGTCAACCAAAAAGGCAAATAAGCAAGGAAGTTTGTAACTGAAAAAAGAAAAACACTGAATAAACTTAGTATGCAGATTAAGTCATTAGCTCATTGCCATATAAACATCAATCTTGATAAACCCTAGTTTTTATCATTCACGTATGTTTTCTAGAAGTATCCCCAAAGTAAGTATGTATTTATGTCCCAGGTCAAAGAACACAAAACCACACACCAAACATGTGACGAATTTACATTAAAAGAGTACAGCTCCCTCCTAGAATACCATCTCTAGGCAGCTCCCTTACCAGTTTCCTTTCCTACTGCACTCTCCCTCCCTACAAATTTCTAAATGCTAATGACACTTAGAAAATTCCTTTGTAGGGCACCTGGGTGGCTCAGTCATGTAAGCATCTGCCTTCAGCTCAGGTCATGATCCCAGAGTCCTGGGATGGAGCTCCACATTGGGCTCAGCAGAAAGCCTGCTTCTCCCTCTCAGCAGAAAGCCTGCTTCTCCCTCTCCCGCTGTCCCTCTCCTCCTTGTGCACTCTCTGTCTCAAAGAAATAAAATGTAGAAGGAAGGAAGGAAGGAAAGAAAAGAAAAGAAAAGAAAAGAGAAAATTCCTTTGTAAAATAGTATTCTAAAAAGAAAAACCTGAAGTTACTTTTTCAGTACATGAACCACACAAATTCCAACTCTATTTTTAGGTCTTGACAAATGATTATAGAAGAAATCATTCAAAATATTACTAAATGAAAGCCACTAATTTAAACTTTAATTTTGAAAATGACAACATTAAATGCTTCTATCATAAAAACAAGGAATACTAGAGTTTCTAAAGTGATTCAGTACTTTACTCAACTAAGTACAGTTCACTAGCCTGGAACCAAGAGGTAAAAATTACAGAAAGAGGAGATGCTGGCTCAACACAAGAAGGCTAACACTGAGAGTCATCCCATAAAGAAATGCTTATCCTAATATTTAGCTCTACCTAGCACCAGGTATTAATGGGAAGACTGGAGTGCTATTATATGAAGGAGGTAAGAGCTCAATCCAGATAACTGAGAGAGCACTACAGCACCTTCCAACTATATTGCAATGACCTTTAGACTTACCTGTGTTTTCGCAGGTAAGTTTCTAGTGTTTCTAAAAGACAACTAGAGTCAATTAAAACTACTTCATCCCTGCATTCTTGGGACATTAGTTCCCATACGTCCATCCAACAACCTCTGCAGAAAGAAACACATATTAGTGAAAGAAGGACTAGATAAACATTAAAACATTAAAAAAGGCATAGTAAAGGATTGCTTGATTTTACCTGGCTGTTCCCTGGAAAGGTCCATAATGGAAAATGATCCTACACTTGCTGTCCTTCCTGTGGTCTTCACTACTTCTCTTATCTGTACTTAACTTCTCTGAACTGACACTGCTACTGCTCCCTTCACTGTAGTACAGTATAGTACAAAGCTTAGTGACACTCAGATAACCTGAAGGAATAATTTCTATAGTCTAAATTAAAATCATGAACTCTTTAATACATATTAGTATAATAAGTTTACAAATTTATATATAATTACATATTCATTTTAGCCATATTAAAATATTAAACATATGCTCATACTTTTATATAAAAAGTTCTGCTCAACTATTAAGTTTATCTGACACAATTTAACAACATTTATATTTATCAAGGTACCAACTCATTAGATACTAAGCATTTCATTAAGCAAATCTACTTGGAATGCTTTAAAGTCAACACAGCTAAAAGAAATTATATTTTCACCTATAAACTTGGTCAATCTTCCACAAATTGAAAATTTAATGTTTTGTTCTACTTAATGTGATTTTATATCTAACCCATGGCAACAAAACTCAATGTTTTGTACCTTCACATTTATAAGTAGCTGAGGGAAAAAAAAATCAGATTAATCTAATTATAGTAAATAAATTTTTACATTAACTACAATAAAATTTTACATTTACTAAAATAAAGACAGCACACTAAGAGGAACATTTTACATTTTACACAGCCTATATCAGTAATAAGTACTATATAAATACTTTTTTAAAAACTTACTAAAACTTCCCGGACTCTCCCTCCCCCACAGGTTTCAGTGTGGCGTTGGTCCTGCATTTTGCTTTATTGGCAGATGTACATTCCAAAAGAAATGTGTGTCTATATTCCATTCAATGACAGTCTTCTTGATATTTCAGGATTCTGAACAACTGACTCCTGCCTGTTCCTCTGCAGGTCTGTCTACAGTCCCAGAAATGTTACCTTGGATGCTTGAGATGGAAAAACCTCTGAATCTTTACTTAACCTTCTCTATACAGCTGAATAGGTACTTTTCAACTCCTTGCCCACCATTTAAGTTCATCCGTACAATTCAGCTCCCTACTCCCTGAAACAAGACCTCAAGCAAGGTTCAGCACCCTAATTTGAAACAAAGACCACAACAACTGCTATCTTCCATGTTCTATCCTTCAACTCTCTATGCCTGTATTTCCTCTCTTTCTAATTATGCGTGAGCAATCCATAATTTCCTAAAACTGATTAACTCTCAAACTCAAGTTCTCATAATTCAGGAAAAGGTTCATGAAATCAGTGCGGGGATGATTATTATATCATCAGAACACAAGAGCATTAATTTAAGAAATACTTCTAAAAAAATGCTACAGTTAATATTAAGACTTTATCCATAACCTCTCTCGACTTTCTATCACTCCATCCTTTCAAGATCAAGATTTCTGAAAAAGAAGTCTTTCCACTCCTGTACTTTCCACTCACAGCTTAATCCACCATAACCTTAGATTGCAATCACTTTTCTACCCATTCTTATCTGGATTGTTTCGACTCAACCACAGATTTGGTCATCAAGATCACCAATTACCACAGTGTTGCTATATCCAATGGACACTTCCGGGTCCTTGATTCAGGAGCATTCAACACAGCTGAACACTCTTTTCCCTTCTACCTCTCTGGCCACTCTTTCTCAAGTTTCTTTACTAGATTCTTTTCTACCAATACGCTGAATTCCTTAGCATTCTTCTCTCTTACTCTACTCCCTCTCTAGGTAGACTTTATATACTATTCTCTAAAATAATCTTCAGTCTTCAGTTACAGGCCTACAACTGTAGCCTAGACTCTTCTTCGGGATCTCAAACTTACTCCCAAGCAGCCAATAACTTGGGTTTACTTGCATGGATACAAGAATACTCTCAAAAAGAAGGCTGAGCTGGATTGTTGCCGTTGATTAGGTTGAAACCTAATCAACTGTTAACACTTCCCTGGAAGAGAGTCTAAACAGAAAAGGGGGGGGGATAAACAGTTGAAATGTGTAAAATGGAGAGTCACAGTATCATACAATGGCAGTAGCCATCCAAAATGGAGGAGGGGGGAGTCTTGGCTAAGCACACTGTACTCCCTGGCCTGCTATCCACATGGTGTGTGGAAATACCTGAAGCTCCCTTAGGAGACAGTGCTCAAGATCAACTCATACTGATTTCATAATTCAGCAAACAACCTTCTAAAACATTTGGCTTCCCATGCGGTGGGGCTGTTGCTGAAGGGGAATGTGAAGTCTGTGGAGGTTTATTTCTGTTTTTAAACTGAAAGATAGGAAAACAGAGCTGTATGCCAATTTAACACAAGTGGGTAATTGATAAAGCAGTCACTGAGAAATGGAACCTGGAGCAAAGGTAGAAGAACTGCTCTTTGAAGGAAGGTACCAACGAACAGCTATGTAAGATGTTGAGGTATCTGTTGCTCTTTTGGTTCCGCAACAAAGAAAATTCATAACAAGAAAATCGGAAGGCAGGCTTTTTGTAATAGGTTACCACTCTTGTGGCTTTAGCCAACAGGTCATTCAGGTAAAGATTACTGTCTAATGAGAAAATTAGACTGAATTTTACGTTTGCAAGATAGGAATTCTCTAAAGATATTTGTACATCAGTTGTGTAAAATAATAATTTTCTTTCGATAACCACTTTGAGTTGTGTGGAGCTTTGCTGCAGGTTCAGAGTACTCGCACATTAGGGACCATATACTTTGTGGTTCAGTCTGGATCCTGATTCTAACAAATCCATTTTTTAAAAACGCACTTTTAGAGAAAAATGTGGAAATCTAAATTGGGTATCAGATTATTATAGTTAATTCTTTTAAGTGATATAATGGCAGTGTCATTATGAAAGAAAATGTCCATGTATTTAGAGGTGGATGTGGAAATATGCAGGAGTAAAACAATGTGATGCCTGGGACTTGTTTTAAAATACTTCAGCAAAAAAAATAATAATAGTAATTAAAAAAAAATAAAGTACTTCAGCAAAGAAAAAGATGGATAAATAAAACAAATGTGACAAATCTTGATAACACTACTGAATCAGGGTGACGGTATCTGGTAGGAAGGAAGGTTGCTGAATAGTCTAACTTTCCTATACGTTAGGCAGTTTTCATAATAAAATTGTTTTAAGATTTTGTTCCCGAGTATAGGAAAACAAACAAACTTGCTAATAGAGTATCAACATACCACCAACTGGTCATCCAGGTCTTTTATTTAGGAAGGAAAAGGTCTATACAACAATGATGTCAGCACTACTCATGAGATATTCAAAAACTAATTTTTTAAAGGCAATCCATTATTGTTTTAGATCATCCCATTCTCCTCAAAACACAGGTTTCTTCTTAGAAGCCCCCCTTTCAAATTCAATAGCTTTTCCTTACCACCCCCAACCTAAAGCAATTTTGTAGGGGGCAAATGTAACAATGTGCTGGGAGATGAGGGCAAAAGCAGCCTTGGACATTGTATCACCTAACCAAAACAAAACTGCAAATTAGTTACATAAATACACATTGCTACAACTAATACAAGACTTTTTTTTTTAATCCTCGATAAATTATTAGGGAGACCTAGAGATAAGAAAGACAAGAAAAATAATTTATACATTATGACTATTATACAGATCAAAGAATTATGTCACTACCTTGAAAAACTCAGTATTGGCTAAATAAATTTTCATAAAGATCTCAACTTCCTTCCTTTGAAACATATTTAATATAAGAAAAAAAAAAAACCTCCAAAATAAAAATCAAATCTATACTGAGACCCTACACAGTCTCAATGCAAAAAGGCCTTACAGAATTAGGAGACAAGATTTATTTTAACCTATGTTACAATGTAACTAATTGATAAAGTAAAACTAACAGTGTTTTTTTTGTTTGTTTCACTAAATACAATCAACATTTATAATCTTAACAATTACTAAGGATCTTGACAGTCAATTCTACTTACCCCAAAGGTTTTGGTTTGTGCGTATCTAAGGAGTGCAACTGACATCTCTTGTTCTTTTTACTTTTTGGAATAGCATCTATCATGTCATTAAGTTTGGACCTAATCAAAAATAAATCATTAAAAGTTTGATTAATATTCATTTTTCTTCAGAATTTTCAAAATCTCTATTTACTACCTTTTAGTGCAAAAGTGTATTTCAGGTATTACAGACACATCACTTACCTTGAAAATTTCTCAACAAACAATTTCTAACCGAGAAGAATCCGTACACTTGTCTTCTCCCTTCCATTCCCAGTCTGTCAGTATGTTGAAAGAGACCTGTTCTATTCAATGTACTCATTCCCCCAGACTGCATCCGTCTCGTTCATCCCTGTATCTGCGCTGTATCTAGCAGTGTGCTTGACACTCAAATATTTTATGACTGACTGCTACCTCTCAGCGATCTTGCCCTGTTCAAACAATATCTAAATAAACATGATCCTTGATGAGGAACCATCAACAGAAATTTTACGCAAATACAGAAATGCCTACAGCTAATAGCCACACCCTACATCCAACCAATCAGCAAAGCCTATCAACTCTAACTTTTGAATTATCCAGAATTATATCATTTATCACCTCCACCATTACCATCCATGTCCAACTCGCTTCTCTAGCTTAGTCAAGTGCAATAGCTGACCTCCCAAATGGTCTCCTTGCTTCCCATCCTTTGCCTTTACGTTCTAGGCTTCACTCAGCAGCTGAAGTGATCTTTTCAAAACAAAAATCACATTGTTTTCCAATCAAAAACCCTCAAGCCTTTTCTCAGGAGAGTAAAAATTCTAACTCTCTACCACCACCTCTAAACAGAAAAGCCTAGGCTTTGGTTGTCAGACACCTTCTCACTTCCTATTTATATTCAGACTTTGGTGACCATCTCACATCTCACAGATTTAAATTATGTCCATGTGTTTGAGTGTGTGTGTAGTTTATACATAGTTCAAATACTACATATGTGCTGATGACACCAATTTTTATCTCTAGAGCAGACCTCTCTGAACTCCACTTGGATGCCAATTGGTATCTCAAACTTAACAGGTCCAAAAGTGAGCTCTACAAAATTGCTCCTCCCATTCTTATCCACCTCAGTAAATGGAAACCAATGGTCCTGTTCTTTAGATCCCAAATCTGAGAATCATCCTTGATGTCCTCCTGTATAGCCAATCTATCTAAAAATTCTACTGGCTCATTCCTCAAAATATACCCAGGATCCAACCATTTCTTATTACCTCTGTGACCACTACATTGGTCACCATCTCTTGCATGGATTATTATTATTTTTTTTAAAGATTTTTATTTATTCATTTGACAGACAGAGATCACAAGTAGGCAGAGAGGGAGGAAGAAGCAGGCTCCCTGCTGAGCAGAGAGCCCAATGCGGGGCTCGATCCCAGGACCCTGAGATCATGACCCGAGCCGAAGGCAGAGGCCTCAACCCACTGAGCCACCCAGGCGCCCCTCTTGCATGGATTATTAAATAGCTTTTGTTTCTTCCCCTTCCACCATCCTTCCACTTATTCTCAACACAGAGGTCAAAGAAAGCCAAACTTCAAGTCAGACCATGTCACTCCTCTGCTCAAAACATTCCCAAATCTTCCCATCTTACTCAGAGTTAAAAAAAAAACAAAAAAACCAATAACCAAAAACTCAGGATGGCACTACATAAGTAGGCCTTTTATTACTATTCTCTTCAATCACCTGGCTCAAGCCATAATGGCTTCCTTACTGTTCTTCAAACATGTCAGGAAAACTCCAAACTTTGAAACTTTACACTTGCTCCTCCTTCTGTGCCTTCCTGCAGATATGTACATGGTTTATTTACTCACTTCATTAAAGTCTACACTCAGTGTCATTTTATCATAGAAGCCTTCCCCAACCGTCCTCCATATTAATTCACCCAAACATTCTCATCTCTCTTATAACTTACCTGACAAATCACATATTTGCCTACTGCCTGCCTCTCTCCATATGAGCACAATATGTATAGTCACTGGCACACAGAAGATATTCAATAAAATTAATGGTTTTGGGGGCACCTTGGTAGCTCAGTGAGTTAAAGCCTCTGCCTTCGCTTGGGTCGTGATCGCAAGGTCCTGGGATCAAGCCCCCCACTGGGCTCTCTGCTCAGTGGGGAGCCTGCTTCTACCTCTCTCTGCCTGCTGCTCTGCCTACCTGTGATCTGTCAAATAAATAAATAAAATCTTTAAGAAAAATTAATGATTTTGGACTCAAGATTTGCCCCTACCAAATTTAGTAAAAGAGCCACCACTGTCTCAAAGTTTAAAATTTTTTAACAAAGTCATCTAACCCCTATTGATTATACTTACCCATGTACATAAAATAAGGTATAAAGCTTCTTTGCATCAGTCATGCAGCTTCGAGTTACAGATAGGACTCCCTTGGGCCCTACTGTCAGGGGTTCAAGTGCAGGATTTCCAGACTCTACAAGCTGGGAAAAGAGGCGCTCCACACTGCGACGACAACCAACACATGGGACAAGCTGAGAAAGTGCACTCAATACTTCACGTGATGTCACCACCATGGCAATACTTAGATCTTGCTGCTTAAGCATGCTATGTCGCTGAGAAAGAGGAAAAGAAAAATGAAGAACAG